ACAGCCTGTCCAAATTCTATCAATTTTGGCGGTGATATTTGGCAAAAAAACGCTGATACAAAATGTTCTCAAACTTCACGAATGATCTCTCTCAGTCTCACTATATTTATCTGGAATGTGCTCGCGCGCGCGCGTGCGTGTGTGTGCGTGTGTGTGTGTGTGTGTGTGTGTGTGTGTGTGTGTGTGTGTGTGTGTGTGTGTGTGTGTGTGTGTGTGGTGTGTGTGTGTGTGTGTTTACTAGTTGTGTTTACTAGTTGTGTGTTTTTGCTGGGTTGAGCTTTGCTCTTTCGGCCCGCCTCTCAACTGTCAATCAACTGTTTGCTAACTACTTTTTTTTTTCTCCACACCACACACACACCACCACCCCAGGAAGCAGCCCGTGACAGCTGACTAAAACTCCAGGTACCTATTTACTGCTAGGTAACAGGGGCATTTAGGGTGAAAGAAACTTTGCCCATGTTTCTTCTGCGTGCGGGAATCGAACCCGCGCCACAGAATTACGAGTCCTGCGCGCTATCCACCAGGCTACGAGGCCCCTATGTGTGTGTGTGTGTGTGTGTGTGTGCGTGTGCGTGTGTGCGTGTGTGCGTGTGTGCGTGTGTGCGTGTGTGTGTTGTGTGTGTGTGGTGTGTGTGTGTGTGTGTGTGTGTGTGTGTGTGTGTATCTCAAGGTCACGACAGGTTAATTAATATCATTACAGGTCTTCAAGTTCACCAGAGTTACAGCCGAAGGAATCCAAGAAGGGTGAAGACAAACACAGTTCATTTACACGTAAAGTATAAAGGAAGTAATCGACGCTTTATACTTTTAAAGTATACATGAAGTAAAACAAATTCCCAGAATGTTGCAACTCCATAAAACGTTCAAAAGTCGTTAATGTTCCCATCAAAACTCTTGATGATGGCCTGGGGGGGGGGGGGTGTGATTGCTGTAGGGGGGGTAGGGGGAGGGGGGTGATTGCTGTAGGGGGGGAGGGAGTGATTGCTGTAGGGGGGGAGGGGTTGATTGCTGTGGGGAGGGTTGATTACTAGGAGGGTTGATTACTAGGGGGATTGATTGTTGTGGGGGGGGGGGGGTTGATTGCTGGAAGAGAAGGTAGGAAAAAAGGGGGGAACATAGTGATGCAGGCACAGGATAAAGAGGTCAAAGGTTGCCTGTCACGACCCAACCTATCCATCACCACTCCCCCTACCTCTCCATCGTCATTACCATCCTCCATCCTCCATCCCATCGGCAACTCGTCCTCTCAACTAGTACGTCTCATTTTGGACGTTGTGGTCCCAACGTACACAATGTGACCATCAGAAGTAGCGGCTCACAAACACCTACGTTTTCTATGCTTTGGTTGGGCCAGGTTAGGTGGGTTGCTTGGGTTCGTACGTTCCTGGTTAGTTTAACACTTTATATTTTGTACGCTGTGGCACCACCCATTCTCCTCCCCCATAACCATTATTACCCACAGACATCACTAGACACCATCACACAACCACCCAACACCACCACCACTCACACCCACCATCACTACCACTACTCCCATTCACCAACACTACCACCACCACTCCCACCCACCATCACCACCACTCTCACCCACCATCACTACCATCACTACCATCACCACCACTCTCACCCACCAACACTACCAGCCACCAACCCTTGCTCAAAGCTCTCCATCACCACCTATCACTCTCCATCTCCTCTACCACCAGCCCGCAGCTAACCTTACCTCGCTTATGATAAAGTAACAAACTTGCTGCTTCGAAAGCACCATGTTTTCCTCCCAAGTTTAAGCCACAATGAGCGGGGAGGGACCCCCTGTTATGAGCCCGTGGCTGCTGCTTCGTTCACCGCGGTCTCCAGTCACCACCTGCCACCACACCCCAGTTCGAGCCCCGGTAAGGGGGGATCCTAGGAGTATTGTGTCTGTGCACATATACACCCCCTCTAGAGAAGGTATGAAGGAAGATTCGTGTGATAATCTCCCGGGTGTTTGAATGGCTGTAATGCAACTGATAATGATCAATCATTCTTAGCTGAACGTCTCACCTTAACACAGCCCTCTGTATAATGTATAGTTTCTACGGGCTCACCATAGCCAGTGCTATTTGGAACTTTTCGTTCCTAGTAGCGAATCAAACAACAACAACGTATAATGTTTAGTTTAGTTTACCCTCTCAAGTTCACACATTTTTTAACAACTATTAAATTAGTTTACACGAAATGTAAATATAAAAAGCTACAACTGTGATAACCTTCGGGCTTGACGTGTAAATGGGGAACTAAGCTGTAAAAAATCAATGTAAACCAGAAAATAACTCAATCTTTCATTGGGGAGTTTACATCTCAGTACGAGACCATTACAGCTGTAATCAATACACAAGAAAGAAACAAGAAAATGGGTAGAAGGGGTTGAGAGGTGATGTGCAGGAGTGGGGGGAGGGTGATGAAGGCTGAGATTACATATGGGATGGAAGGTTGTGGATGAAACGGGAAGCGAGGGACGGGAAGAGTGTGGGATCATCAGTGTATTGAAGAAGGTGTCTGAACACCTTCGTATTCACAAGACACTGAAACACGGGGCTAAATGGAGAGTTTCAGCTGAAGGCGTAAGAATGTTGGCACAAGGGTTGAAAACCTTGAATCCTAAATGACCTTCTCTAAAACGACCCGTAAGATAATATCCAATGACAAAAACCGTCCAGAATCAGCGCACTTAAGCCAGGAGGAACGAGGGAGCTCGTGTCTAAGGTCAATATTACGACCCGGAAAAAAATTTACCTGTAATCGAACATTCCAAAGTGGAAAGTTTACTTGTTCAAATGTTTGATAAACTTACAGCTGGTAACGCTCACACGAATGGTGATGGGACACCCCATATTGCCCTCGACTGGGACGCCGCCCGGGACGTCCGCCAGGGACGCACGTCAGGGACGCCCGCCTGGGACGCCCGTCCGGGACGCCCGTCCGGGACGCCCGCCCGGGACGCCCGTCTGGGATGCCCCGGCCTGTCTATACCCTCTACACCAGCATAACTGATAGAGAGCTTTATTGATTTGTTATCAAGTATCATTGTTAAAGTCTGTTCACCATAAAAGCTGCCATCAAAATTCCAGTCAGATTTTTGTCGCAGTTTCAATTGCTTTTGTCACAAACATTTCCAGCATTACAAAAACATAACGCTTGGACACGAAGGACATTTATCGAACGAATCTTCGGTTCGATTCACAAACTAGTTCGATATATTCTTGTAGCCAGTTTATGAGTTATATTCCAACAGAAATGTATTTTTAAGTTCGCGGCAAAAGGTGAGAGAAGTGAAAACAATTTTTATTTGTCAGCAATAACATCATGTTTACAAGAACGAGCTAAGACCCAATAAAGGAATATCATCCATAACGGTCGACAAGAACGTTGTCACCTTACAAAAATGTACAAGACGAATGTTGCTGGGAAAATAATAATAATAAAACAAAAGAGTGTGAACACTGACGATCTTCTTAAAGTTAGGAGCTGATTTACGAGCCGAGACGCTGGGCTCGGCAGCGAGGAGACGTAGCACAGGCCCTGCTGGGAATATTGGGGCTGCTGAACTCCTGCGGTGTCACCACCACTATCTTGACACCGAGGGAGGGACAGAGGGTTACGTTGGGTTGGGTTGGGTTGAGCTAGGCTGGGCTGGCCTGAGCTAGGCTGGGCTAGGCTGGGCTGGCCTGGCCTGGGCTAGGCTAGGCTAGGCTAGCCTAGCCTAGCTCTCTAGGAAAGGCAAGGATTTGCTAGGCTAGGTAGAGGGTGATATTGGTGGGCGGGTGGAGAGCTGAGCGCGACACCATTCCCCACCAGTTAGCTTGTTCATGTGGGGGCGATATTGACAATGCCAGCACCGCTAATGTTACCCCTAAACCAAGCTCGCACTAATTTTCTCGCTGACTATGTACTTGCGTGTTACCGTACGCGCTTATGTCCGCTTGCAGGATCGAACTTGAGCTTTTGGATTCTACCTTCAAGACGTGGGTGGTGTAATACCATGACTCCCAACCTGTTTGTCTCCTACGGAGTTAGTTTCTTCTACATCCTCTTCTAGTTCACTTCATTTTCTTACTATTAAACAAACGGAATGTTTTATTGTATCCCTGTGAGCTATCGTCAACCCATCCTCTCGAGTTGTCACGTTATCTTGAGGTTATCTTGAGATGATTTCGGGGCTTAGCGTCCCCCGCGGCCCGGTTCTAGACCAGGCCTCCTTTTTGTTACACACCCCAGGAAGCAGCCCGTAGCAGCTGCCTAACTCCCTGGTAACTATTTACTGCTCTCTCTTCTTCTATTTCTATTTACTGTTCACTATATACTCTCTCTCTCTCTCTCTCTCTCTCTCTCTCTCTCTCTCTCTCTCTCTCTCTCTCTCTCCCTCCCCCCCTTGCTGTTATCTGAATCTCTTTGCCTGTCTGTCCGTCTGTCACTTAAGCAGCATTCTTCATTAAATAAAGGCCACACACACACACACACACACACACACACACACACACACACACACACACACACACACACACACACACACACACACACACACACCATCCTGCACGCAACAATAAGCTCTTGCATTAAATTTTCCCTTTAATAGTAACTCCCTCACAACATACACGTACACACGGACACGCTCGTGTCCGCGGGTACACACAAGAACACACGTGTTCATACGTGCACGCACGCACATACACGCACTAACCCATAAGAGACTGTTGCACAAGTTTGAGAAACAGGCAGGAGTAACAGGTAAAGTGATTCAATGGAAAAGGGAGTACCTAAGCAACAGGAAGCAGAGTTACTGTGAAGGGTGAGACCTCAGAATGGCGTGATTCACCAGCGGAGTCCTACAGGGTTCCGTACCCGGACTTATCCTGTTTCTAATATAGGTAAATGTTCTCCCAGAGGATATAAACGCATTCCTCTCAATATTTTCTGACGATGTTAAAATGATGAGAGGGATTAAGACAAAGATGCACAGCATGATAGTACAAGATGAACTGGGACAAACTAAAGGAATGGTTCAACAAATGGCTATTAGAGTTAAACTCAAGCAAGTGTAATGAAGGGTAGGGAGCAGGTCAGATACAAAGTACCATTTTATAATATATATATATATATATATATATATATATATATATATATATAATATAGTATATAATAGCCAGAACGCACTTCTCAGCCTACTATGCAAGGTCCGATTTGCCTAATAAGCCAAGTTTTCATGAATTAATGTATTTTCGACTACCTAACCTACCTAACCTAACCTAACCTACCTTTTTTCGGCATCCTAACCCAACCTAACCTATGAAGATAGGTTAGGTTAGGTAGGGTTGGTTAGGTTTTCGGTCATATATCTACGTTATTTTAACTACAATAAAAAAAAATATATATATAATGAAATGGGTATAATATTTAATATAAAAAAAAAATAGAGAAAATATATTATTCAGGAAATATGCTTATATATATATCGGGCCTTGCATATATATATATATGGCTACTATATATATATTATATATATATATATATATATATATATATATATATATTATATATATATATATATATATATTATATATATATATATATATATATATATGTGTGTGTAATATGTGTGTGTGTGTGTTAGTTATTTAAAACATTCCCTTAGAAGTGGTCATATTTTTACTTTATTTGTAAGAAGATTCTAATCAAATTTATTGGCAATGTTTCCTCTGATCACCTATTTGCTAGAGATTTTTCTCTTGCAAGTAGGTGCAAGAGAAAAATAGAAACATTAACCAAATGCAATGCACAAATTACAAAAATCACACATTATAAATATTAGTAATAGCTGTACATAACTGACCCACAATTTAATTATTGAATAACATCTCTACGGTGATTACTGAGCAACTGTTTCCAGTAGAGGAGGAACTCTATTCTGCTAGCCTCACTCTATACTCTATCCCCACTCTTGTTTATTTCCTAAACAGGTTTGTATCCAGTCATCCTCCGGTGAGGAGATGATGACTTTGTGACCAAATATATACTCCCTGGTATGTATTTTATGTATGTTTATACACATAATAATCCTCCTGGAATGTATTAGAAAAAGACACAAGCAAGTTCTCTCCAGGATTTTTACTGTTTCACTGTCCTTCACGGTGGTATATTTAAGTATTGTCATCATTTCTTCTCATTCGTCTTCTTCCCCGTCCACGTCCTGCTTTGTCTCTTCCCCCCTTCGTCTCTTTTTTTCCCCGCCACCCTCTTTCATCATTATTGTTTAGTTCCATTACTCTTCCCTTGTTAAAATCCTTCTTTATTATCCACAGGATTCCTCAGCAAATTCTTCGTCTCTTTTAATCAAATTCTTCACCGGTCAACCACGACGACCGGTCAACCACGACGACCTTTAACAACGACGACCCTCAAGACCGACGACCCTCAAGACCGACGACCCTCAAGACCGACGACCCCTCGACACACCGACGACCCCTCGACACACCGACGACCCCTCGACACACCGACGACCCTCAACACACACGACGATCCTCAACACACACGACGCGACCCTCAACACACACGACCCCTCAACACCGACGACCCCTCGACACACCGACGACCCTCAACACACCGACGACCCTCAACACACCGACGGCCCTCGACACACCGACGACCCTCGACACACCGACGACCCTCGACACACCGACGACCCTCGACACACCGACGACCCTCGACACACCGACGACCCTCCCCGACACACCGACGACTCTCAACACACCGACGACTCTCAACACACCGACGACCCTCACACACCGACGACCCTCAACACACCGACGACTCTCAACACACCGACGACCCTCAACACACCGACGACCCTCACACACCGATGACGACTCTCAACACACCGACGGCCCTCACACACCGACGACCCTCAACACACCGACGACCCTCAACACACCGACGGCCCTCAACACACCGACGGGCCCTCAACACACCGACGACCCTCAACACACCGACGACCCTCAACACACCGACGACCCTCAACACACCGACGACCCTCAACACACCGACGACCCTCAACACACCGACGACCCTCGACACACCGACGACCCTCAACACACCGACGACCCTCAACACACCGACGGCCCACAACACACCGACGCCCTCAACACACCGACGGCCCTCAACACACCGACGGCCCTCAACACACCGACGACCCTCAACACACCGACGACTCTCAAACACCCGACGACTCTCAACACACCGACGACCCTCAACACACCGACGACCCTCAACACACCGACGACCCTCAACACACCGACGACCCTCAACACACCGACGACCCTCAACACACCGACGACCCTCAACACACCGACGACCCTCCACCCAGTTATAAGGAGTGCTGCTCCACGTGACCAATAAACGAACGGTGGTGAAAACACGACAGCGGAGCACCAATCAATCTGAGACGCGAGCGAACACTTATTCTGACGTATGTGTGTGTGTGTGTGTGTGTGTGTGTGTGTGTGTGTGTGTGTGTGTGTGTGTGTGTGTGTGTGTGTGTACTCACCTAATTGTGCTTGCGGGGGTTGAGCTCTGGCTCTTTGGTCCCGCCTCTCACCGTCAATCAACTGTGTACAGATTCCTGAGCTACTATTGGGTCTATCATATCTACATTTGAAAATGTGGAGTCAGCACCACATCACTTCCTAATGCATTCCATTTGCTAAACTACTCTGACACTGAAAAAGTTCTTTCTAACGTCTCTGTGGCTCATTTGGGTACTCATCCACCTGTTGTCCCCTTGTTCGCGTCCCACCAGTGTTGAAAAGTTCATCCTTGTTTACCCGGTCGATTCCCCTGAGGATTTTGTAGGTTGTGATCATGTCCCCCCCTTACTCTTCTGTCTTCCAGTGTCGTGAGGTGCATTTCCCCCGCAGCCTTTCCTCATAACTCATGCCTCTTAGTTCTGGGACTAGTCTAGTAGCATACCTTTGGACTTTTTCCAGCTTCGTCTCTTGTGCTTGACAAGGTACGGGCTCCATGCTGGGGCCGCATACTCCAGGATTGGTCTTACATATGTGGTGTACACTGAATGATTCCTTACACAGGTTCCTGAACGCCGTTCTGATGTTAGCCAGCCTCGCATATGCTTATTCTCTTTATGTGGGCTTCAGGATTTGGTGTGATATCAACTCCTAGATCTTTCTCTCTGTCTGTTTCATGTAGGTATCCTGTGCCTGGCCTCCTGTTTCCACTGCCTAGTTTCATTACTTTGCATTATACTCGGGTTGAACTTCAACAGCCATTTTGGGACCATTCACTCAGTCTATCCAGGTCATCTTGTAGCCTCCTATATCATCCTCTGTTTCAATCCTCCTCATAATTTTTGCATCGTCGGCAAACATTGAGAGGAACGAATCTATACCCTCTGGGAGATCATTTACATATACCAAAACAGTATAGGTCCAAGGACTGACCCCTGCGGGACTCCACTTGTGACGTCTCGCCAATCTGAGACCTCACCCCTCACACAGACTCGTTGTCTTCCTGTTGCTTAGGTATTCCTCTATCCACCGGAGTACCTTCCCTCTCATTCCAGCCTGCATCTCCAACTTTCGCACTAGCCGATTCACTGTATCAAAGGCTTTCTGACAATCCAAAAATATGCAGTCTGCCCACCCTTTGCCTTATTTTTGTTGCCTGGTCGTCGTAGAATTCAAGTAACCCTGTGAGGCAGGACCTGCCATCCCTGAACCCATGTTGATGCTGTGTTACAAAGTTCCTTCGCTCCAGATGCTCCACTAGTTTTTTTCGCACAATCTTCTCCATCAGCTTGCATGGTATGCAGGTTAGGGACACTGGCCTGTAGTTCAGTGCCTCCTGAACTACAGTGGTGTGTGTGTGTGTGTGTGTGGTGTGGTGTACTGTGCGTGCGTGCGTGCGTGTGCATGTGTGTTTAATTGTGAGTCATGGTCCACCAGCTGAGCAAGCTGATCAGGCAAACATGAGTTACTCAGCGGGAAGGTGAGTAATGCACTCAGTGAGTGAGTCAGTCACTTGTTGATGGGACACGAATGAGGATTTACCCTCCCCGGCCCAGGGAAATATCAGTGCCAACGGGCACCTCTGCCCAACGGGCACCATGACAATTTTCCAGGTGATGGAAATTTTGCAAATTCTCTAGATTTTGATTCAGATAAAACATTTAACGTAACAAATAGTGAAATTTAAAACTTCCTTGATGTGACTGTCCAAAGTGACAGACTTCCCAAACAACGTAGGCAATGAGACAGAGCTCAGCTTACCTACCAAGCACAAATGGTGTCAGTAAGGTGAAGCTGTCATCATGACACCGGATACCGTAGACATAATCAAGTGACGATACATAATATAGTATTAATAATAGATAATATAGAGTATGTATAATAGATGACATAATACAGTATTATGTCGGTAGTATCAATTTATCCAACATAAAATAGTATGTAATTGAACATCAAAGTATTACGTTAAGCAAGAGAAAGCACAGTAAAGGCTATTAATTTCCTGAAGGTAAAATATTACATATACAAATTAAATGTTTTCTTAAGGAGTATTACCCTCAGTAAGGTATTATTATAACTCCATTAAGGGAGTGTTGCCTCCAGGTTAATCCAGCCTCCCTAATCCCATATTTATGAATGTAAAACCTATTACATACGACTCCACTGATGAGATTCGAATTATTCTTGAACAGAGGTTCGGTCGCGTCCTGTGTTCAAACCACAATGTGAATGCTTCACCCACGTGTAGGCGATGAGTTACAATAACGTGGCTAAAGTAAGTTGACCAGACCACACACTAGAAGGTGAAGGGGCGACGACGTTTCGGTCCGTCCTGGACCATTCTCACAATCGACTTGAGAATGGTCCAGGACGAACCAAAACGTCGTCGTCCCTTCACCTTCTAGTGTGTGGTCTGGTCAACTTCACCCACGTACTGCAAATACAAATAATAATTCCCAAACAGAACCTAATCAGCTAATCTAACATACGCCTGGGCACAAAATTATGATATACAAAAATATAAATATATACTCGAGAACATTTTGAGTGTGAATCATTTTGATTACGAGTACGTTAACATAGTTCAATGTGTGTTTGTGGAGTTGGCCGGCCGTAGCCCGCCCCGCCTAAGGATAACTTGAGCATCTGAATTTCATTTAATAATTAAACAAAAAAAGTTGAAGATAATCATAGAGTTTTGTACCTTGGTGGGCGTCTCACCCATCAGTCCAGCGACTTGATGGCTCTAATAAGCTCTAAGACTCTCAAAGTCTAAGGTCTGACCTCTTAACCTCCAACTTTAGAGGTTAAGAGGTCAAATTATCCTAATCGTTTGGTGTGCTGTGGTAGTTGGTTGTACGGTTTGATTACAATAACTACAGGGGATGGTGGCTTTTTCTGTATGGCAACTTTTTGTGTAAGGCAATTTTTTGTATATGATATTTTTTTCTATATGGCAACTTTTTAAGTATATCAACTTTTTGTATATGGCAACTTTTTGTATATGGCAACTTTTCTATATGGCAACTGTTTTAGTATATCAACTTTTGTATATTGCAACTTTTTTAGTATATCAACTTTTTGTGTATGGCAACTTTTTGAGTATGGCGACAGCTTCTAGACAGACCACTATAGGGAGTCGACCTACACTCCCCAAGCTAGAACTGTGAAGCCTCCTGCAACACAACAGGCTTAACACAAAATATAGCTTGCAAACCTTCAAACAGATCGCAATTAGTATTCATCTAAGGTGCTCGGCTGACAAGGAAGGCGTTGTAGCCACACACACACACACACACACACACACACACACACACACACACACACACACACACACACACACACACACACACACACACACACACACTCACTCCCAGCGCCTCGCAAGCCATTGAGTCTGGGTTCGAGTCCTTGCCGGGGAGGACTGACTGGGCATTTCCAGTTTACAATCGTTTGCCCTTCAGCACTCGGCAACAATTGAGGATCTGATTGGTTGCCGATTGTCTGGCTATGTCCCAGAGAAAACACTAGCGGGTCTTACCATGAGTTATGGGAAGTGAAATCTCTCAGCCTACCCACAGGGGCTAGAAGTCGTTTGCTGCTGTACCCCCAGGAGTCAGAAGTCGCTTGCTCGTGTACCCCCAGGAGTCAGAAGTCGTTTGCTCGTGTACCCCCAGGAGTCAGAAGTCGTTTGCTCGTGTACCCCCAGGAGTCAGAAGTCGTTTGCTCGTGTACCCCAGGAGCAGAAGTCGTTGCTCGTGTAGGAGTCAGAAGTCGTTTGCTCGTGTACCCCCAGGAGTCAGAAGTCGTTTGCTCGTGTACCCCCAGGAGTCAGAAGTCGTTTGCTCGTGTTCCCCCAGGAGTCAGAAGTCGTTTGCTCGTGTACCCCCAGGAGTCAGAAGTCGTTTGCTCGTGTTCCCATCCATGTAAAAACAGGTTAAGCGCACCAGTGAACACCGCGAGCTCACGAAGACACGCACCAAACACCAACATGCCAGACACGACCCCCTGGTCGCCACCCAAGTCACTATAGAGCTGTCCACCAGGCTCACGAGGACGGAGGCGCGGGGTTGGTATAGAGCATTATACACGAGTGTTATTGCTGCTCCCACCGACCTGAGTTCATTATACTCTGGCCAATGATGCCTCGACCCCTCCCCACCCCTCTGGCTTTCCAAGCTGCTGCTCTAAATTGAGTTTCTTGGGTAAGTTAAGAGTCGTATTTACTGCCTCGCGGAGCGGCTGGCAGCTCCAGGCACGACCAACACGGACTCCCTCCAGCCTCTCTCAACACACAACCATTGTTACAACTCATCTCGAGTTGTTGTTATTATTCTTTAGTTCCACAGTACATCATGGATAGGCCTACTGACCACCACGGGTATGGCTATGACAAAATACTTCATTACATCGGCCTACTGATGGCATGCCTACTAATCCCAGGATTGGTTACAGCAAAGACTATCAGGTTACCCTCTCTCAAAGGATGACAATCTTCCGGTTATGAATCCGAAGATTATACTTCATCTACAAAGCCCGATAATTATGACCAACCCACATACGGGTTCTGGCTAGACACATGTTGTGATAACTAGTTTACAGGTGTTGTGGTCTTATAGATACTATAACTAGTTTACAGGTGGTGTTGTGCTGTTATAGGTAGAGACTAGGTTGTGTTAGGTTTACTGAAAGCCGCATCTTTCAGTAATCAAATTTACTACGTAACCAAGTCCAATTTCAATCCGGTGTTTTTAATCCATTGTAATTATTAAAAAAGAGGAAATAATGTGTGATTACTTCAATGCTGCTGTAGAGGCAGCCAGAGTATGACTCTCTGCTTCAGTGTTGCTGTAGAGGCAGCCAGAGTATGACTCT